AGTCGACTTTGGCGAAAGTTGTAGTCGACCAAAAGGGCGACAAATTTGCAGCCAAATCACATTGTAGCGGATCTGACGCACCCTTAGGCTATGTGGGACTAATGTGTGCGTAAAGTACATGTCGCAGGTAACCCTGGTAACATTGGCGAACCTGCGCAAGTTCACGAACATTCTCCAACAATCTCGACACCCCCAACACTCGCGGGCCAATCACCTTTTCAGTCCCAACCAACCTTCCTAACGTTGAAGTTCTTGGCCCGCGGGTTTTAAAACCCGAGTTCTACATGGCTGTTTTCAAGTTCAAGATTCCTGAATATGAATTCGCCAAAAACCATGTTACCACCCGAAATGGAGCATTCCGTCGCGATCCAGAGGGAAGGTTTTGCGACGTTGTTCCATGATTGGCCAACGACAATCCCAGTCATACCGAGTGAAGGGCCAAAGGGCAATGGAGCACTGTTCACTTTCAGTAAACTTGAAAACCATGTTGTACTAATTCGCAGGCATATTGACAGGCTACGTATACTTAGTTCACCTGTTTTTCACGCCCAAACCTTCACCGTATCACTCCTTTTCTCCGTAGCTCTCAGCTGTATCAGTACAGCAGCCTATTTGGCGAAAATATGAACAGCCAACAATAGAACCAGTCGATTGGCGATGCCGCATTCATACAATAACTACAGAGCTCACATGCGCGTGCCGTGCGCACCCAACCGGATCTAGTTACTTGCGCGACGCCAACACATGCCTGCACGTCACAATTGCATCCACCCCCCCGGCGTCTAACCCGGGTCGCACGGTTGATGGTCAAATATATCCCTTCTGACTGTCGCTCTCCCTTCCGCCGTCGCTCTCCCTTCCGCCGGCGTTCTCCCTTCCGCCCGTCGCCCTTCTTTCCCCCTCGTCGCCCTGCCTTCCGTCCGTCGCCCTCCCTTGTTCCCGTCGCCCTCCCTTCCCGTCGCCCTCCCTTCCCGTCGCCCTCCCTTTCCGTCGCCTTCCCTTTCCGTCGCCTTCCCTTCTCGTCGTCCGCGCTTCTTCCCATCGCCCTCCGTTCTTCGCGTCGCCCTCCCTTCCGCTCATCCCCTCGCTTTCCCTGTCTCCTTCTCTCCCCGTCGCCCTCGCAATCCCTGTCTCCCTCTCTCCCCGTCGCCCTCGCAATCCCTGTCTCCCTCTCTCCTCGTCGCCCTTGTTTCTCCCTCCCCGTCGCCCTCGCCTTCCCTCCCGTCTCCCTTCCCATCTCGCACACATGTCACCCTTCCTTCTCTCTCCCTACTCCCTCTTTTCCCTCCCTCCAATAATCGCCTTCCTTCCCCCCAATTATACCCCTTCCCTGCTTCCCCCCATCCGCTTCCCTGCTTCCCCCCATCCTCTGCATTCTTTCCCCGTAGCCCCAGCCCTGCTTCCCCCATCCCCTTTTCTTCTTCCCCACCTCCTTTGCCCTGCCCACACCCATCCATCCCCTTCTCTGCTTCCCCGTATCCCTTGCCTTGCTCCCCCCCATCCCCTTCCCTGCTTCTCCCCATCCCCTTCCCTCCTTCCCCCCATCCCGTTCCCTCCTTCCCCCCATCCCCTTCCCTGCTTCCCCATGTCTCCTTCACTGCTTCCCCCCATCCCCTTCCCTGCTTCCCCATGTCCCTTTCCCTGCTTCCCCATGTCCCCCCATCCCCTTCCCTGCTTCCCCCCATCCCCTTCCCTGCTTCCCCCCATCCCCTTCCCTGCTTCCCCCCATCCCCTTCCCTGCTTCCCCCCCTTCCCACAGTCTCCTCGTTGCTTGATCTCGCTTTCGCCACGCCCATATTCCCGAAATGAGTTTTTTTTTTTCATGTCGCCAACATGGTTAGCATGGCGACCGGTAAGAAAGAACTGACTGCGGCCGACTTCCCCGTCGAGGTGCCTGTGGGCAGCGCGGGGTAGATAGTGAAGTTTGAGATGAAGGACTATGACGTTATTCGCGATGAGAGGCTCGAGTTCACGGAGGCTTGCTTCGACTTCGGCCTCGCGTGAGCGCTCATCCCTAGTTCTTCGTTCCCTGGCTCCCTAGTTTCTTTGTTAGTTTTTAAGGGTTTGTAGCGTGTTTAGGTCGGCGTTGTTTCTAGGTCTGCGTGGTCGTCCGTCCATGATGGTCGACGTAGCGCTAGGTCGTCGTCGTATTAACTCGTGGTTGTGGTCGTCGTCGTAGATGGACCCTACGTCGGCGCTGGCGGTCTGGCTGCCTGCGACGTCGCCCTCGTGCAAACCCTTCGTCAGTGTCGGCTTGTTTCGCGGTCGGCTTGCGCAAGCATTTCGCTCCCGCCCTTTCGCCCCTGCTTGTCCCAGGTCCGAGCTCGATCGCCTCGGAAAAGGCAACAGGGTGGCGCTGATGCGCGCTGCTTGGCTTCGCGTCGCCAGGACGGCGTCGAAGCCGGACTATCTGTCTTTCGGCGCGGGCTTCCACTCCGAAATCATGGCCATTCCCTTGATCACCGCGTGAGTGGTCCGCGCCCGTGAGGCTTGATCGTCGCCGACCGCGCTGCTTATTGTTCCCGTGAAAACCCCTAAATGTCTTCGTCCTGCCTCTCGTGTGTGCAAGGGCGGACTTCCCGGCAGGCACTGCAGCGTCCTGCTCGTTGTGCGCCCTGGCGACCTGCTTTTGCCCGACGAGGAGGAGATCGGGACCTTCTACCACCACCTCGACCCCAAGACCTCCTCCAAGCTGCACCAGGAGGAGGCGGCCAAGGTTTTGAGGTGGGACTACGTCGCTGGCTAGTCGCGCTCCTCTCTACCGGCAATTATGCCGCCGTGTCTGATTGCTCTTGTCCGTCTCGTTCGTGCGCAGCTTTTTTGGCAAAGCTGTGAAGGCGGAGTTGAACCGTGAGGGAAGGGAGTGGACGCACAAGGCTCATCGTGCCGAAGTCCTCTCTGAACATCTTTCGAGTGTTGCCGCCCCCATCTATGATGTGAGTTTCCGACTTCGATGTCGCCTTGTCGCTTAGGCTATCGTCGTCGAGCCGTCGTCTTATCATTATCGTCGTCACCTGTGCTTCGTTGTTGATGCAGAAATTGCACGACATCCTCAGGCAAGAGGCCCCCGGCACGGGGCTGCTGTCGGTTAGCGCATTCGCGTGGTCGTTGCGCCATCTGGACGACGTGCATCGCAGCTATGATCCGCTCATCGTCGAAAACCCGAAGTTGGTCGGCATGAAGGCACTCCGATTGGGGCTGCTGCACTACGTGGAGAGGGCCGCGCTGAACAAACGGGAGGCGACGACCGTGGGTCGTGGCGTGGGAACCGGCATCGCTCTGGGTGGGGAGGCCCAGTAGGCTCGGGGGGGGGGGGGGGGGGGGGGGGGGGAGTCGTACTCCGGCGGGCACGGACCCACAGATGGCGGCGAGGAGGAGCACGAGGAGGAGCACGAGGAGGAGGGCAGGGAGGAGGATGGTGGCTCGGACGAGGAGGAGGAGGACGAGGAGCGTGAGGACGACGACGTGGTGGTCACCGGCGATGCGGAGGCCGTACAGTTCGCCGGTGAGAAGGTTACGGATAAGAGCGGTGGCGGCAGACCCAAGTCAGCAAGAAGGCGCGGGGGAGCGGTGGCTCGACCACGACCAGGATGGTGTCAAAGGCGGCAATGGAGCGTGTGAAGGCGGTGGAGAGGGAGAACAAGAAGCTGAGGGAGGAGAAGCTGGTCGCGGAGAAGAAGCTGGACGACTAGTTGGCCCGGATGGACACGATTTTCTCCTGCGTTAGCACGGCCGTCGAGAAGCTGTCGTCGGTCGCCGACCGCGTGACCTCTCTGGAGCAGACGTCGGGGAGGAGCATCCAAACGGCGGTGAATGCTATGAGGGTGGTCTTGCAAGAAGCGGTGAACAATCGCGCCTCCCTCGTAGAACACATGGACGAGAGGTGGCTGCCCACCGTACAGGATTTGCACGTGATGGGTGCTGCTCTGAAGGGTAGGCGACGGGAGGACGATGAGCTGTTGTTGCGAGGTGTGGCAGATGCTCTGGGCGAGAGGATCAAAACCGCCTTGTCTGCTAAGGTGAAGGCCGTCATGGAGAGCGCGGCACCGGAGATCGCCGCCGCCGTCGTACGCAGCCTCCCCCCCCCCCCCCCCGCCTCCACGTCTACCAACGGGATGACTGCGAAAGTCGTCCAAGAGCTTAAGGACAACGTGGTGAAGGCGGTCACCTCCGCGACCCGTGCCGCCAGGTTTAGCCTCCTCCCAAATGCTCTCGCGTCGGTGATGCATACAGATCGCTCAGGCGCCGAGGAGCAAGGGCCGCCGCCAATGCACAGCAGGAAAAGGGTCGCGGACAAAAAATCCCTGACCGGCGAGCAGACCAGCGGTGGTAAGCGAAGCAGAGGACCTCTGGTCAAACGCGCTGTGGCCGTGGAACCTCTGCCCACTCCATATGTTCGTCACCCGGCGTTGAAGCCTTGCTAAAACAGGGGTTGGGCGCGCTACCGAGCGCCGATTTTCGATAGGTTGGCGACGTGCTCCAGGTTACAGCCTCGCTAGTCGGGAAGCAAAGTTTGCAGGCCGTGGCGGACCAGCAGCCATAGGCCGTGACCAATACGGCAAGCGTTAACGACGCGCCACCGAGCGGCGACCAGCCGCATCTGGCCAACGAGCTCCTGGGAGGGACATCCGTGGTCGGGGAGCAGGACGGGTAGCTAGTGGCGGACCAGCATCCCTAGGCCGAGGCCAGTCAGGCAACTGCACAAGACGCTCCACCGAGCGGCGTCACGGCGCAGCTGGCCGACGAGCTCCTGCACCTCGCAGCGGTGGTCGGCTAGCAGGGCGGGCAGCCCGTTGCGGGCCAGCATCTTCACCCCTGCACAAGGCGCCCGACCGACCGGCCGTCACAGCGCAGCTGGCCGATGACCTCCTGCGCTCTGCAGCGGTGGTCAGCAGGGCGGGCAGCCGGTTGAGGGCCAGCATCTTCACCCCTCGACAAGTCTGGCGACTGCACAAGGCGCCCGACCGACCGGCGTCACAGCGCAGCTGGCCGACGACCTCATGCGCTCCGCAGCGGTGGTCGGACAGCAGGGCGGGCAGCCGGTTGAGGGCCATCATCTTCACCGCTCGACGAGTCCGGCGACTGCACAAGGCGCCCGACCGACCAGCGTCACAGCGCAGCTGGCCGACGACCTCCTGCGCTCCGCAGCGGTGGTCAGACAGCAGGGCGGGCAGGCTGGGGCGGGCCAGCATCCCCACACCGCGACGAGTCCGGCGAGTGCCAGTAACGCGCGACCGGGTGGCATTACGGGGCAGCTGGGCGACGAGACTTTCCGCCCCGAGCAGCAAGCGTCTGGCGTGCTACCCAGTGGCGTGGCCGATGCAGGCATATCGGTGATTGTGTCGGCGACGGCACCAGCGCCGCACAAAGCGGGTACTGCCCACTAGACCCCCGGCGTGGTCGAGACGACTGTGTCGCAGCCGAGCTCGTCTCCACCTACAACGGTCACTGCCGCTGCGGCCAGCTTACCCGTTCCTGGGGCCGGCATGGTCGGCGTGGAACTGATCCCTAAGCCTACGACGGGACAGGTGGTCGATAATCTAATCGCCCGCCAGCCAACGTTTGAGGAGTATCTGAAGTGGATCGAGGCTCAGAACACCCCGAAAATTCCGCCGACGCCCAGCAACCAGCAAGGAGCAGAGGCAGGGCATGTCACGGCGGTGACTGCAGGGCCGGGCAGCGCAAAGGAGGAGATGGCTATGTGGGGAGAGGAGGACGAGGCTGCCGGGGTGGAACCGACATCCTTGCCAGCGTCGTGATGCCGGACCCTGAAATCGACGTCCTGCGGGAGAAACTAAAGTTAGCGGCACCAGCTCCCAATGTGGAAGCGCAACAAGGTGCACCACCTGCCTCGTCTGCACCTGCGGAGGACCCTACCGCGACTAGCGCCAAATCCCTCCCGGCCACAACCGGTGAGGTCGGCGGCGGGAAGCAGAAGCGCAAGGGCAAGGCGAAGGCCGGTTCTTCTAAGGGGTCGGCCAAGATGGCTACGCAGGGTCGGAAGGGTTCAGGCGTCCGCGTTGACAAGGAGACGGGGCTGGCCATGCCGGAGATGAAGTTTGGCAAGAAGAGCCGTTACATTTGCCGATCGATGGACAAGACGGAGGCCGCCTACTGCATCGCAGTCGCCGTGTCAGCGTTCGACGGCTACGTGAGCGACGTGATTCTCGGCGAGTTCGGTGGTGTCAAGGAGGATGTGATGAAGCAGTATAGGTCGGACTGAGAGGTGGCGCAATTGATGCCGGGCGACATGTGGACGGTCATGTGGAGCCGTGGCGCAATCGTATTTCGCGACAGGTACGATTGGCGAATGCTCAATTAGGTGATCGTGTCGGTCGGTACGCGGGGGTCGGTCGATGACGGTGTGTCGTGTTGCTTTGTTTCGCAGGTTCCAAGACGTGGTCAACGGGTACAACAAGATCACCAAAGACCGCCGTGCAGCTCTCATGGTGGCTCTTGGTCCTGCGGTGTGGTTCGGCGAACTTCCGGAGTCGATCGAGGACTAGAAGGCCGCGAAGAACAAGATGGCGATGGATGCGATGTGTGCCGCTTTCGCACCTATGGCCGCGAAAGTCTTGCCAATCCCGAGCGTCAATTCAGAGTGGTTATCCGAGATCCTCGCAAGGACCGCGTGTGCGCGGTGTGGTGCATTTCAGAGACCAATGCCACGGCGGAGGCCGCGGCCGGCGAAGGGGGGGTGGCAGCGACTGTGCGCAGAGCGTCCTTAGAGTTCGCGAGTCGGTGTAAGAGTGCCATTGAGGTGGCGCTTCAACGGGCGCCATCCCATTAGGCCGGTGAAGAGGTGGTCGCCGACACGGTGACGAAGGCCATGAAAGAGGATGTGTTGTGCTCGCTGCCTCCGAAAGGGGACGAGGAAGACCACGACGAGGTGATCGCCTATGTCATGATCGAAAACCTTGCCTTCTGGGGGGACTGCCCAAAACTCAAAGCTCAAAGCTCAAAGCCCATTGACGGCCCTAAACTCAAAGCTCGCGGCGTCGTTTTGCCCATTGACGCCGAGATGAAGACGATCATTCGGGACAGGGGGGCGAGGGGGCAGCACAAAGGGAAGTCGGCGACAGACGCCTAGGCCGGCAAACGCCGTCCCGAGTGCTCTTGTCATGGTCAACGTGGCCGCTTTTGTGCGCTGATTAGCCTCCCCGGTTTAGCGAGTCTGAACATGATCGGTGGTTATGCGTTATAAGCCTTGTGAAGTCGGTTTTGTTTTGGAAACCTTGTGAAGTCAGTTTTGTGTAGTCGGTTTGATGCATGCACAAGAGACTATGAACTACTAAGTACAGCATGAGAGACTAGTCCAGACCCTTGATGCCGGTCGACTTTCCGTCGGCTGTGGTGGGTGTTCCCTCGTGGGAACTGTTCCTAGGGCCCACCGATTTTCCTTTTTTTTCCTGCCCGGAGCGCACTCCGCCCCTGCCCGAGTCGCGCTCCCCTCTCACGGCCTCTCACGGCCCCGTCGCGCCGCCCTTGCGGCCCCTTCGCGCCGCCCTCGCGGCCCCTTCTCGCCGCCCTCGCGGCCCCGTCGCCCCACCCTCGCGGCCCCGGCGCCGCTCTTACCGGCCCCGGCGCCGCCACTGCTGGCCCCGTCGCCCTACCCTCGCGACCCCGCAGCCCCACCCTCGCGGCCCCGGCGCCGCCCCTCGCGGCTTCGTCGCAGCCGCCCGCGACCCCACCGCCGCCCTTCGCGGCCCCGTCGCCACACCCGTGCGACCCCGGCGCCGCCCTTCGCGGCCCCGTCGCCACACCTCCGCGGCCCGATCGCCACCCTTCGTGGCCCCGCCGCCGCCCTTCAGCGGCCCTGCCGCCGTCCCTTCAGCGGCCCTGCCGCCCTTCACGGCCCCGCCGTCACCACCGAGCAGCCGAGCCGCCGAGCCGCCGGCGCCGCCGAGCCGCCGTTGCCGCCGAGCTGCAGGCGCCGCCGAGCCGCCGTTGCCGCCGAGCTGCCGAGCCGCCGAGCCGCCGAGCCGCCGTTGCCGCCGAGCAGCTGTTGCCGCCGAGCTACCGAGCCGCCGAGCCGCCGCTGCCGCCGAGCTGCCGAGCCGCCGAGCCGCCGTTACTGCCGTCGCGGCCCTGTTCCTGCCGGCGAGCCTCGGTCCTTCTCGCCTGCCCGGTAAGAGCAGCGCCTCCACCACTGCACTGCCCTTGCCTGCTGCTCGCGCTGCTAGTCTACTGCTGTCATGGCTGCCCCTAGTGTCCTCACTTTTGACGCTGAGGGTCGGGCCATTGACTTTGACGTCTGGGTAGATGACCTGCAGCTTTTCCTGCTGAGCGCCACTCCTGCACCTGCACCTGCTGCTGATGCTGACGCCACTGTTCGCTCACAGTGGGCCACGCGCGATGCTGCTGCCCGCCTTGCTGTGCGCCGCCACTTGCCGACCGCTGAGCGTGCGCACTTTAGCCAATACAAGAGTGCTACCGTCTCTGTTTGCCCCACCACCCTCACCGTTGACCTCCTTGCTACTGTCGTCACTGACCCTTCCTTTGAGTCTACTGCTGCGTCTGCTCTGGTTGCTGAGCTTGTCGACTTCGCTGCTCGCTGTCGCCTAGACTACGCTGCCAGTCTCGTCGCTGAGTCTGAGTCTGTCTGTCCTCCGTCCGTCGGGGGTGAGTGTGCTCTTGGCACGGACGTCCTTGAGGACAGGCAGGAGGAGTTCCAGTGCTTGGCTGCTGTTTCACCTCATCTCGTGTCCATGCTGCTTGCCCCTGAGGGAGACCCGGATGCACTTGACATCCCGACTCCGCGCTCTTACGCGGAGGCGATAGAGGGTCCCTACTCCTCTCAGTGGCAGGCAGCCATGGACGCAGAGATGGCTTCCTGGAAGTCCACAGGCACCTACGTTGACGAGGTTCCCCCGCCTGGGGCGAACATCGTCAGTGGCATGTGGATTTTCAGGGTGAAGCGGCCGCCGGGTTCTCCGCCTGTCTTCAAGGCGCGTTACGTGGCTCGTGGCTTCAGTCAGCGGCAGGGAGTTGACTACTTTCAGACCTTCTCTCCCACCCCGAAGATGACCACTCTTCGGGTACTGCTGCACATAGCCGCTCACCGAGACTACGAGCTGCACTCTCTTGACTTCAGCACTGCTTTCTTGCAGGGCAGCCTGCACGAGGAGATCTGGCTGCGCCGCCCACCTGGCTTCACTGGGACTTTTCCTCCTGGCACCCAGTGGAGCCTCCGGCGGCCAGTCTACGGTCTCCGCCAGGCACCTCGTGAGTGGCACGACACACTGAGGACTACACTTGCGGCTCTTGGGTTTGCTCCTTCTACTGCCGACCCGTCGCTGTTTCTGCGCACCGACTCTTCTTTGCCGCTGTTCTACATCCTCGTGTACGTCGACGACTTGGTCTTTGCTACAGCTGACACTGCTGGACTTGCCTACGTGAAGTCCGAGCTGCAGAAGAGACACATGTGCACAGACCTGGGTGAACTACGCAGCTACCTTGGCCTGCAGATCACCCGGGACAGAGCACAGCGCACCATTACCCTGACTCAGTCACACATGGTGCAGCAGGTCCTTCAGCGCTTCGGCTTCACGTACTCCTCGCCTCAGGCCACTCCTCTGGCTACACGCCACTCGCTCTCAGCTCTGCCTTCGGATGAGTCCGTAGAGTCGAGTGGCCCGTACCCAGAGCTTGTTGGCTGCCTCATGTACCTGATGACCTGCACTCGACCTGACCTTGCATACCCTCTTAGCATTCTGGCACGCTATGTTGCTCCTGGGAGACACAGACCAGAGCACATGGCTGCAGCGAAGAGGGTGTTGCGCTACTTGTGCAGTACGTCGGGCATGGGGCTTGTGCTTGGAGGGCAGAGTCCAGTGGTCCTCACTGGTCACGCAGACGCTTCTTGGGCCGACGACCAGGCTACACAGCGGTCGTCACAGGGTCCCTTCAGCCTTGGTTCCGGCTCTGTTTCGTGGCGGTCTACCCGCTCGTCTTCTGTTCTCGGCTCCAGTTGTGAGGCTGAGATCTATGCAGGGGCCATGGCTGCACAGGAGTTACGTTGGCTCACCTACCTGCTGACTGACCTGGGAGAGCCGCCTCGTTCTCCTCCAGTACTGTACGTAGACAACAAGGCCATGCTGGCCTTGTGTCGGGAGCACAGACTGGAGCACAGAACGAAGCACATCGCTCTTCGCTACTTCCTTGCTCGTGAGCTGCAGCAGCGTGGTCAGCTGCGCCTTGCTTACGTGGCCTCTGAGGCCAACACTGCTGATATCTTCACTAAGGCACTCGCGCCTTGTGATCATCAGCGCTTCTGTACTCTGTTAGGTCTTGTGCCTACCTTGCCTCACTTGCTTACTTCTTGACCTTGCTTGTACTGTTACATATATATACCTGCCCTTGCTTGTTTAGCGTTATATATATGTAATCTTGCATGTGAACTGGCCTTGTGGCCTTGAACTTGTGCTCAGACTGTGTGGTGACGTTGTGATCCACCCTGAGCTTGCCTTGCTTTGCTTGACTGGTCTTGTGACCCCTTGTTCTCCCCCCACTTTGCCTATGGGGGTGTGTTAAACTCATACACTATAGTCTGTGTAGGCTGTAGTGGGGTAGCTCATATGGGGTACAACACTTTAGGGTTTGGTACTTGTACTCCTCATGCTGCTCAATGCATTCACTCTCGTTCTAGTTTTCACAGTGGGGGCCTTGATGGGCGTGGTTGCACGGAAGACCAAGAGAGCATCGCTGAAAGTGGAAAGACTCGCCCGCCCCTGGTGGTCGAGTAGCTTGACCACGGCGGCGGTGCCAACGTCGTTTTCGCTCCGCCGCAAGAGGTGCACGGCTTCCATGATCCGCTTCATCCGGCGCGAGGAGTTCTGCAGCGCATAGTTTTTCCCCGTCTCTCCCACCTCGGTCGTGGGATATTCGTGGGTAGTCGGTTTTCGGCCACGAGAGCTCTTCGCCAACGCTGCGAGTTTGTCGGGCTTCTCGACCTTGAAGATCATGCGCGTGTGTCGGACGAGGAATCTGGGCTCCTCGTAACGTTCGCGCAAAGGGCACGCATCGAAGTGCGAGGGGTTGTTCCACCAGCGCCACACTGCCTCGACCGTCTTGGACGTGCGCCAGGGATGCACGACGTTCAACTCGTACGCCAGGTCGTCGTCCTGCTCCTTCTCAATTTTGACAGCCGCTGCCTTCTCGGCGTCGGTCATCGGCCTTGTGGTCGACGACGCCGGAGCAGTCGGCCGTGACTCGGCCAGATTG